ATTGAAAATCCAACAGAAGTTCCAACTCCGATGAAATTGCAATTGAAAATTTCTAATATAAGTTATCTATATTTATGTATCTATAAGAGAAAAAATTGCACTTTCATAAAATAGTATGGTATTTCTGCTAAAACTATATTTGGTTGCTAAACAAAAAAAAGTTTTTAAACCTTTTTTTTCTATTTTTTGTGATAATTTTTTCTTTTATCATACATTATGAGACTTTTATTATTATTTTAGGTATTGTGATATCAATAATTGATTAAAATTTAAGATTAAAATTTTATAACATTTCAATCAATTAGTTTGTGTGGTTTGAAGCTATCGAAAAGACGGTTTAAGGAGAATAAAGAAAACGAAATAAAAATCAAAGTCGAGGCACGTAATAATTACGTTATCCTTAAGATAAAATTATCCCGTAAAATACCCACGGTTAACAGCAAAAGCCTCTAAGATACAACGACTTTCGACTTGTATGTAGTGATACTTCAAATATACAAGTCTTCGGCAAACACTACTATTGTTTGGAACTCTCAAGACTCAATTAAAAATCAAAGAACACAATATGCTATATGATATTTGAAAAGTAATGCAAGATCTCTCTAATTTTCCAGTTATGAATAGTTTCATGTATATGGGTATTTATAAATGTAGAAAAACACCTCTAAGAGGTTTAAATGTCAAAAGACACCTTTTAAAACGTATCCGAATGAGAACGGACACATCTAAAGGCCAAAAGACACCTTATAGTCACTAAGGTTGCAACCTTTCAGTGTCCCAGCCAGCTGCGCGCCCGTGCGCCGCGGACTCGTACGAGCTCATATGAACTCGGAATTGAGTTCTGTTTTTTCCTACTCATCCCCAACGAATTCTTCTAGAGTTATAGCATGCAAACTGCATGACTATGTCTCGTTTAGATTATTCTAACATTCGTCAAAGACAAAATATTTTACGAATTCAATAATATGAGTTACTTTAAATTATTGCTTCAACCTTACATTTCTCATATATACAACTCAAAATTAATTCCTTATTCACCTTAAAATAGTTTTGAGAATTTTCTAAGTCTTCTACTTACAAAAAATGGAACCGTATATCGCTACAAAACTAATTTTTCTTACACATTTTACTAAAACTGCATAATTCATGTTCTAAAATTCATATTTTCTCTTTCTTTCTAGAATTTATTGTGTGTTTTTTTTCTTTCACATAATTTATGCATTTTAATTTTCCTAAAACATAATTCATGTTCTAATAACAAATGAGAAAAGAATAAGGAAAAGGACAAAAACATGAATCAAAAAGAAATATTAGGTTTAAGCACTTGCTAGCCACTCAAAATTCTTTCAAGGAAAGACAACAAAGGACAAAATCACTTGTATTAGATTATATCTTCTGTCCACACCTTAAGCATTTAAGGATTAATGCAAGTGTGGGATGATGGATTCCTAACATGGTCCCCATCAAAATCATCCATATTCAATCTACCATTTGGAGTGATGTTTTATCCCTCTTTAGATGCATGATTTAATATTTTGTTTGTTTGAAGCATTTGATTGTAGGATATTAGGAATTTAATTACCAGTTAAACATTGTTTGCAGCTTGACTTATGATTGATATTCAAGTTTTACTCAATGCTATACTATTAAGATAAAATATGTAGGACATTGTTTGCACGATGATCAATATTTCGAGCCACACAATCAAAATTATGGTCAAACAAGCCTTAACATGTGTAGATTTTACCCTACGAGTGTACGAGTGAATATTGTTGCAATCAATAGATCGTTGTATATGAATCAATAGATCGTTGTATCAACATATACGTATGTTTATATGATATGTATGTGTCTGAGTTGATCAATGATAAAAGAAAACTCGATAATGGAATTGTAATCACAGGGTAAGGTCGAATTTTCTTTGTATTTTTTATTTTTTTTTCGAAAAATCTTATTTGTATTTAACATATGAACTGTAGTGAGTTTGACACTTTCTACAGAAATTTCATGGGTGGATTCTACTTTTGGAAGAAATAGTTAACAAAATAGGTGTTTGAAGTCTGGTAATTCTTGTCTTGGTGGCATGTGATGAGAAGACAAGAGAAGTGATAAAGAAAAAGAATTTGAGAAATAAAGGAGTGCCAATGATTTTTAGAAATTAGTAAATGATTAATTTCCTTGTCGTTACATGTAATTAAGGACACGTGTTTTGATTATAGTGGGATGACATTAAATTAAAGTTTTCTCATTAAAAGAGATTTTTATTTATTTTTTTTTACAAATTAATAACTCAAAATTGCAGCTTGGTGTTGTTATATATAGGAAGAAATCAAGAAATACATGCAAGTATGTAACAAGTTGTTGGGTAGTCATAATTTCCATAAACATTAATTTCAAATTAAAATATTATTTTTTAGTAAATATACATAATGTGAAATTATAGTGTTATATACTTTAAGTAAGATAAACAAACATATAACATTTTAAGTGATATGGGATATCATACCAGATATTGACTAGACCCGAAAAGACGAACTGACTGAACTGGGTGAATCAATAGGTCAAAACGGTGATTGAAGGCGCTACAGGTCGAAGAGCCTCTGGTCGATGAGGATGTGGCATATTCAAGGAGCACAGACAGGTCGAGGTAGGACCATCAGATGGCTTGTTTGAAACTCTACTTAAACGACTGGTCGATGGATCGACTAGATGAGCATAACATAGGTGCTCGACACATGTAACACTCCACCTCGAGGTAAATTGGGTCGGTCGCACGATTAGACCGTCTAATAAAGCATACTAATGAATAAGAATTAATATTATTAAAATAAGATATACCCACACGTGAACAAAGGTACGTGGCCTAACAGAATTGTGTTGTTCGAGCAGTAGGGACAGATAGTTCGAGCAGTCTAGGCAACATACCGAGCAGTCTTAGGCAAAACGGTAACACATCCTAATATCAAGGAGTGAGGTATGCCCATAACAACATTACATTCTATACACTTACAAAGCCTTACGTACACTATTGTTCAGCGTATTCGTTCGTTTCTAACTTAAACATCATGGACTCAACGCTGGAAAACCTCTGGCGTTTAATTTGTGCAGACATTAAAGGTCATCAACCGGTGAGGAAGGCAATCCAGGTCGAACTGAGCAGGACCGAGGTATTTTGCATACCATTTGGCACTCTCTCTGAGAATTTTCGTTTAAAAAGCCATATGAAAGATTCTTCCATGGCGAGCGAAAAAAAAAAAATAAAAATAAATTATGAAACTCATAGACATAGTTTTGCAAGTAGATTTAATACTTCAGCAAACGCCATGAAAGTAATATATGTTTTGTCCGCAATTAAAAATAGTGAAATAAGAGACGTGACTTCATTTTTAAAACAGATATTTTTTTTTTTATAAGATTAACGATATGTTTATTATGCTCACACTAATTAAATGCTTAACACTACTAATATTTTCTTCTTAATTTAAACATGAGAATGAAATCCTACAAAACGTTAAAATGGAATCATAATGTAGACAAATAAATTTTGTGCCGATTAAATGGCGACAAGTGTCAAAATTCCATGTCAAAATCAATATAA